CGCCCCACCAAGAGCTCCTCGCCAGTTTCCCGCCAAATCCCCAGAATTTCATTGTTTGGGATTTGTAAGCCAGGATGATGCCTCGACCTCCCTCGCTTTGATCACCCCCCACCCCCTCCCCCCCACCTCCCCACCCGGGGGAGTGGGGGTGGGGGCTGGCAGGTAGGGAGGCGAGGAAACTGGTAACATGGGAGAGAGGAATAAACCATATGAGGTAGAGAGAGAGAGAGAGAGAGAGAGAGAGAGAGAGAGAGAGAGGACGGGAGTACAAGAAGACAAGTTATGTGATCAGACCACCAACACACAGCCATCACCTTGTCAACGGAACAATCTTATAATTTCTGCATCAAAAGCTGCCACCAGTGTGTGCCAGTCAACACCACTAGTCAACACCACCAGTCAACACCACTAGTCAACACCACTAGTCAACACCACCAGTCAACACCACCAGTCAACACCACCAGTCAACACCACCAGTCAACACCACTAGTCAACACCACCAGTCAACACCACACAGTCAACACCACACAGTCAACACCACTAGTCAACACCACCAGTCAACACCACCAGTCAACACCACCAGTCAACACCACCAGTCAACACCACCAGTCTAGTCAACACCACCAGTCAACACCACACAGTCAACACCACCAGTCAACACCACTAGTCAACAGCCACCAGTCAACACCACCAGTCAACACCACCAGTCAACACCACCAGTCAACACAGCCACCAGTCAACACCACCAGTCAACACCAGTCCACCCAGTCAACACCACCAGTCAACACCACCAGTCAACACCACCAGTCAACACCACACAGTCAACACCACCAGTCAACACCACCAGTCAACACCACCAGTCAACACCAGCCCCCAGTCAACACCACCAGTCAACACCACCAGTCAACACCACCAGTCAACACCACAGTCAACACCACCAGTCAACAACACCACCAGTCAACACCACTAGTCAAACACCACCAGTCAACACCACCAGTCAACACCACCAGACAAACACCACCAGTCAACACCACCAGTCAACACCACCAGTCAACACCACACAGTCAACACCACCAGTCAACACCACCAGTCAACACCACCAGTCAACACCACCAGTCAACACCACCAGTCAACACCAGCCACCAGTCAACACCACCAGTCAACACCACAGCCACCAGTCAACACCACTAGTCAACACAACACCACCAGTCAACACCACCAGTCAACACAGCCACCAGACAACACCACCAGTCAACACACCACTAGTCAACACCACCAGTCAACACCACCAGTCAACACCACCAGTCAACACCACTACCAGTCAACACCACCAGTCAACACCACCAGTCAACACCACCAGTCAACACCACCAGTCAACACCACCAGTCAACACCACTACAGACAACACCACTAGTCAACACCACCAGTCAACACCACTAGTCAACACCACCAGTCAACACCACCAGTCAACACCACCAGTCAACACCACCAGTCAACACCACTAGTCAACACCACCAGTCAGACAACACCACCAGTCAACACCACCAGTCAACACACAGTCAACACCACTAGTCAACACCACTAGTCAACACCACTAGTCAACACCACTAGTCAACACCACCAGTCAACACCACTAGTCAACACCACCAGTCAACACCACCAGTCAACACCACTAGTCAACACCACCAGTCAACACCACCAGTCAACACCACTAGTCAACACCACCAGTCAACACCACCAGTCAACACCACTAGTCAACACCACTAGTCAACACCACTAGTCAACACCACCAGTCAACACCACCAGTCAACACCACCAGTCAACACCACCAGTCAACACCACCAGTCAACACCACCAGTCAACACCACCAGTCAACACCACCAGTCAACACCACCAGTCAACACCACTAGTCAACACCACCAGTCAACACCACCAGTCAACACCACTAGTCAACACCACCTCCAGTCAACACCACCAGTCAACAACCACCACCAGTCAACACCACTAGTCAACACCACTAGTCAACACCACCAGTCAACACCACCAGTCAACACCACCAGTCAACACCACCAGTCAACACCACCAGTCAACACCAACCTCCAGTCAACACCACCAGTCAACAGCCACCAGTCAACACCACCAGTCAACACCACCAGTCAACAACACCAGTCAACACCACCAGTCAACAGCCACCAGTCAACACCACCAGTCAACACCACCAGTCAACACCACCAGTCAACAACACCAGTCAACACCACCAGTCAACAACACCAGTCAACACCACCAGTCAACAACACCAGTCAACACCACCAGTCAACAACACCAGTCAACACCACCAGTCAACAACACCAGTCAACACCACCAGTCAACACCACCAGTCAACACCACCTGTCAACAACACCAGTCAACAACACCAGTCAACACCACCAGTCAACACCACCAGTCAACACCAGTCACCACACACACCAGTCAACACCACCAGTCAACACCACCAGTCAACACCAGCCACCAGTCAACAACACCAGTCACACACCAGCCACCAGACACACCACCAGTCAACAACACCAGTCAACAACACCAGTCAACAACACCAGTCAACACCACCAGTCAACAACACCAGTCAACACCACCAGTCAACAACACCAGTCAACACCACCAGTCAACACCACCAGTCAACACCACCAGTCAACAACACCAGTCAACACCACCAGTCAACAACACCAGTCAACACCACCTGTCAACAACACCAGTCAACAACACCACCAGTCAACACCACCAGTCAACACCACCAGCCTCCAGTCAACACCACCAGTCAACAACACCAGTCAACACCTCCACAACACCACCAGTCAACACACCACCAGACAACACCACCAGTCAACACCACACCACCAGTCAACACCACCTGTCAACAACACCAGTCAACAACACCAGTCAACACCACCAGTCAACACCACGCAGTCAACACCACCAGTCAACACCACACAGTCAACACCACACAGTCACCACCACACAGTCAACACCACACAGTCAACACCACCAGTCACCACCACACAGTCAACACCACCAGTCAACACCACGCAGTCAACACCACACAGTCAACACCACACAGTCAACACCACCAGTCAACACCACAGTCAACATCACACAGTCAACATCACACAGTCAACATCACACAGTCAATGCGACACAATCAACACCACCTGTCACCACCACACAGTCAACACCACACAGTCAACACCACCAGTCAACACCACGCAGTCAACACCACACAGTCAACACCACACAGTCAACACCACCAGTCAACACCACAGTCAACATCACACAGTCAACATCACACAGTCAATGCGACACAATCAACACCACCTGTCACCACCACACAGTCAACACCACAGTCAACATCACACAGTCAACATCACACAGTCAACATCACACAGTCAATGCGACACAATCAACACCACCTGTCACCACCACACAGTCAACACCACACAGTCAACACCACCAGTCACATGGTATATCAATTATTTGGAATCAACCTTAAATGAAAAAGGTAATTAACAGTAAACAAGGAGTTATGAGTCACATCTACCAGTTTCATCTACCAGTCACATCTACCAGTTTCATCTACCAGTCACATCTACCAGTTTCATCTACCAGTCACATCAACCAGTCACATCTACCAGTTTCATCTACCAGTCACATCTACCAGTTTCATCTACCAGTCACATCAACCAGTCACATCTACCAGTTTCATCTACCAGTCACATCTACCAGTTTCATCTACCAGTCACATCTACCACGGACTATTAACACCAAGAGGTGAATAAGGTAAACTGAAACATCTCCCCCCCCCAGACAGGATACCACGGGGGGGAGGGGGGGGGGACGAACGGTATGATAGCTACTAATTACTTCACCTCGTAACTACCATCCTGCTACACGATAGCCACATTTCCTGTGTTGTCCGTTATCGTGGGTGATGACGGGGGCCCGGGCCGCCTCCCTGGCCCGGCCGTCTGCCACAATCAATATGATCTTCCAGGAAACTGTTAATAATAGGTCAAGAGGAACGTCTCCTTCGTCCTCTCTGGAGGCCGTCTCCTGCTCCACGACCCCTGGAGGCCGTCTCCTGCACCACGACCCCTGGAGGCCGTCTCCTGCTCCACGACCCCCGGAGGCCGTCTCCTGCTCTACGACCCCTGGAGGCCGTCTCCTGCTCCACGACCCCTGGAGGCCGTCTCCTGCTCCACGACCCCCTGGAGGCCGTCTCCTGCTCCACGACCCCCGGAGGCCGTCTCCTGCACCACGACCCCTGGAGGCCGTCTCCTGCACCACGACCCCTGGAGCCGTCTCCTGCTCCACGACCCCTGGAGACCGTCTCCTGCTCCACGACCCCTGGAGGCCGTCTCCCGCTCCACGACCCCTGGAGGCCGTCTCCCGCTCCACGACCCCTGGAGGCCGTCTCCTGCACCACGACCCCTGGAGGCCGTCTCCTGCTCCACGACCCCTGGAGGCCGTCTCCTGCTCCACGACCCCTGGAGGCCGTCTCCTGCTCCACGACCCCTGGAGGCCGTCTCCTGCTCCACGACCCCTGGAGGCCGTCTCCTGCACCACGACCCCTGGAGGCCGTCTCCTGCACCACGACCCCCGGAGGCCGTCTCCTGCTCCACGACCCCCTGGAGGCCGTCTCCTGCACCACGACCCCCGGAGGCCGTCTCCTGCTCCACGACCCCCTGGAGGCCGTCTCCTGCACCACGACCCCCGGAGGCCGTCTCCTGCCCCACGACCCCCTGGAGGCCGTCTCCTGCTCCACGACCCCCGGAGGCCGTCTCCTGCACCACGACCCCTGGAGGCCGTCTCCTGCACCACGACCCCTGGAGGCCGTCTCCTGCTCCACGACCCCTGGAGACCGTCTCCTGCTCCACGACCCCTGGAGGCCGTCTCCCGCTCCACGACCCCTGGAGGCCGTCTCCCGCTCCACGACCCTGGAGGCCGTCTCCTGCACCACGACCCCTGGAGGCCGTCTCCTGCTCCACGACCCCTGGAGGCCGTCTCCTGCTCCACGACCCCCTGGAGGCCGTCTCCTGCACCACGACCCCCGGAGGCCGTCTCCTGCTCCACGACCCCTGGAGGCCGTCTCCTGCACCACGACCCCTGGAGGCCGTCTCCTGCACCACGACCCCTGGAGGCCGTCTCCTGCTCCACGACCCCTGGAGGCCGTCTCCCGCTCCACGACCCCTGGAGGCCGTCTCCTGCACCACGACCCCTGGAGGCCGTCTCCTGCACCACGACCCCTGGAGGCCGTCTCCCGCTCCACGACCCCTGGAGGCCGTCTCCCGCTCCACGACCCCTGGAGGCCGTCTCCTGCACCACGACCCCTGGAGGCCGTCTCCTGCTCCACGACCCCTGGAGGCCGTCTCCCGCTCCACGACCCCTGGAGGCCGTCTCCTGCACCACGACCCCTGGAGGCCGTCTCCTGCACCACGACCCCTGGAGGCCGTCTCCTGCTCCACGACCCCTGGAGGCCGTCTCCCGCTCCACGACCCCTGGAGGCCGTCTCCTGCACCACGACCCCTGGAGGCCGTCTCCTGCTCTACGACCCTGGAGGCCGTCTCCTGCTCCACGACCCCCGGAGGCCGTCTCCTGCTCCACGACCCCTGGAGGCCGTCTCCTGCACCACGACCCCCGGAGGCCGTCTCCTGCCCCACGACCCCTGGAGGCCGTCTCCTGCTCCACGACCCCCGGAGGCCGTCTCCTGCTCCACGACCCCTGGAGGCCGTCTCCTGCACCACGACCCCAGGAGGCCGTCTCCTGCTCCACGACCCCTGGAGGCCGTCTCCTGCACCACGACCCCTGGAGGCCGTCTCCTGCTCTACGACCCCCGGAGGCCGTCTCCCGCTCCACGACCCCCGGAGGCCGTCTCCTGCTCCACGACCCCTGGAGGCCGTCTCCTGCTCCACGACCCCCGGAGGCCGTCTCCCGCTCCACGACCCCTGGAGGCCGTCTCCTGCACCACGACCCCCGGAGGCCGTCTCCTGCTCCACGACCCCTGGAGGCCGTCTCCTGCACCACGACCCCTGGAGGCCGTCTCCTGCTCTACGACCCCCGGAGGCCGTCTCCCGCTCCACGACCCCTGGAGGCCGTCTCCTGCACCACGACCCCTGGAGGCCGTCTCCTGCACCACGACCCCTGGAGGCCGTCTCCTGCTCCACGACCCCTGGAGGCCGTCTCCCGCTCCACGACCCCGGAGGCCGTCTCCTGCACCACGACCCCTGGAGGCCGTCTCCTGCTCCACGACCCCTGGAGGCCGTCTCCCGCTCCACGACCCCTGGAGGCCGTCTCCTGCACCACGACCCCTGGAGGCCGTCTCCTGCACCACGACCCCTGGAGGCCGTCTCCTGCTCCACGACCCCTGGAGGCCGTCTCCTGCTCCACGACCCCTGGAGGCCGTCTCCTGCACCACGACCCCCGGAGGCCGTCTCCTGCTCCACGACCCCTGGAGGCCGTCTCCTGCACCACGACCCCTGGAGGCCGTCTCCTGCTCCACGACCCCCGGAGGCCGTCTCCTGCTCCACGACCCCTGGAGGCCGTCTCCTGCACCACGACCCCTGGAGGCCGTCTCCTGCTCTACGACCCCCGGAGGCCGTCTCCCGCTCCACGACCCCTGGAGGCCGTCTCCTGCACCACGACCCCTGGAGGCCGTCTCCTGCACCACGACCCCTGGAGGCCGTCTCCTGCTCCACGACCCCCGGAGGCCGTCTCCTGCTCCACGACCCCCGGAGGCCGTCTCCTGCTCCACGACCCCTGGAGGCCGTCTCCCGCTCCACGACCCCCGGAGGCCGTCTCCTGCTCCACGACCCCTGGAGGCCGTCTCCTGCTCCACGACCCCTGGAGGCCGTCTCCCGCTCCACGACCCCGGAGGCCGTCTCCTGCTCCACGACCCCTGGAGGCCGTCTCCTGCACCACGACCCCTGGAGGCCGTCTCCTGCACCACGACCCCTGGAGGCCGTCTCCTGCTCCACGACCCCTGGAGGCCGTCTCCCGCTCCACGACCCCCGGAGGCCGTCTCCTGCTCCACGACCCCTGGAGGCCGTCTCCTGCTCCACGACCCCTGGAGGCCGTCTCCCGCTCCACGACCCCCGGAGGCCGTCTCCTGCTCCACGACCCCTGGAGGCCGTCTCCTGCACCACGACCCCTGGAGGCCGTCTCCTGCACCACGACCCCTGGAGGCCGTCTCCTGCTCCACGACCCCTGGAGGCCGTCTCCTGCACCACGACCCCTGGAGGCCGTCTCCTGCTCCACGACCCCTGGAGGCCGTCTCCTGCTCTATGACCCCCGGAGGCCGTCTCCTGCTCCACGACCCCTGGAGGCCGTCTCCTGCTCCACGACCCCCGGAGGCCGTCTCCTGCTCCACGACCCCTGGAGGCCGTCTCCTGCCCCACGACCCCCGGAGGCCGTCTCCTGCTCCACGACCCCTGGAGGCCGTCTCCTGCTCCACGACCCCTGGAGGCCGTCTCCTGCTCCACGACCCCTGGAGGCCGTCTCCTGCTCTATGACCCCCGGAGGCCGTCTCCTGCTCCACGACCCCTGGAGGCCGTCTCCTGCTCCACGACCCCCGGAGGCCGTCTCCTGCACCACGACCCCAGGAGGCCGTCTCCTGCTCCACGACCCCCGGAGGCCGTCTCCTGCTCCACGACCCCTGGAGGCCGTCTCCTGCTCCACGACCCCTGGAGGCCGTCTCCTGCCCCACGACCCCCGGAGGCCGTCTCCTGCTCCACGACCCCTGGAGGCCGTCTCCTGCACCACGACCCCCTGGAGGCCGTCTCCTGCTCCACGACCCCTGGAGGCCGTCTCCTGCACCACGACCCCCGGAGGCCGTCTCCTGCTCCACGACCCCCTGGAGGCCGTCTCCTGCTCTACGACCCCTGGAGGCCGTCTCCTGCCCACGACCCCCGGAGGCCGTCTCCAGCCCCACGACCCCAGGAGGCCGTCTCCTGCTCCACGACCCCCTGGAGGCCGTCTCCTGCCCCACGACCCCCGGAGGCCGTCTCCTGCCCCACGACCCCTGGAGGCCGTCTCCTGCTCCACGACCCCCGGAGGCCGTCTCCCGCCCCACGACCCCCGGAGGCCGTCTCCTGCTCCACACCCTCAACCAACACTCCACATCACCAGCTTAAGCTTGGTCAAGGAGCAATGTACAGCGCCACACCACTACACCACAATGACAACTCACCGCCCGACTCGCTCAAAATACCTAATGGAAAAAGGAGAAAACCAGCTTTTATGGCCCCCAGTCCTGACCACCGGAATGGAAAAAGTCGGCACACACTCACACGAAGCAAGTCTCGAAGCCCCTCAACTGAGGCAATTGACTCGATCTTGGAGACTGGACCCGGTATAGACAGCACCGACCTCCAGGGGGGAGAGGGGGGACTACACTAGAGATCTTGGGCGGTAAAGTTGCTGGGAATTTCCAAATAAATGTCTCCCGCGGCTCTCAAACTTCTGCCAAACGTAAAAGCAAACGAGTGTCTGAGAATGTTGGCGGTCACCTTTTTTTTTTAGACTCACATTTGACGCTGTTGCTGTGAAACTTGGGCGAGGAACACTGCCCGTCTTCCTGGGACGGGGGTGGGTACAGGTGCCTGTCTCTCCCTGGGACGGGGGTGGGTACAGGTGCCCGTCTCTCCCTGGGACGGGGGTGGGTACAGGTGCCCGTCTCTCCCTGGGACGGGGGTGGGTACAGGTGCCTGTCTCTCCCTGGGACGGGGGTGGGTACAGGTGCCTGTCTCTCCCTGGGACGGGGGTGGGTACAGGTGCCTGTCTCTCCCTGGGACGGGGGTGGGTACAGGTGCCTGTCTCTCCCTGGGACGGGGGTGGGTACAGGTGCCTGTCTCTCCCTGGGACGGGGGTGGGTACAGGTGCCCGTCTCTCCCTGGGACGGGGGTGGGTACAGGTGCCTGTCTCTCCCTGGGACGGGGGTGGATACAGGTGCCCGTCTCTCCCTGGGACGGGGTGGGTACAGGTGCCTGTCTCTCACTGGGACGGGGGTGGGTACAGGTGCCTGTCTCTCACTGGGACGGGGGTGGGTACAGGTGCCCGTCTCTCCCTGGGACGGGGGTAGGTACAGGTGCCCGTCTCTCCCTGGGACGGGGTGGGTACAGGTGCCCGTCTCTCCCTGGGACGGTGGTGGGTACAGGTGCCTGTCTCTCCCTGGGACGGGGGTGGGTACAGGTGCCCGTCTCTCCCTGGGACGGGGGTAGGTACAGGTGCCTGTCTCTTCCTGGGACGGGGGTGGGTACAGGTGCCTGTCTCTCCCTGGGACGGGGGTGGGTACAGGTGCCCGTCTCTCCCTGGGACGGGGGTGGGTACAGGTGCCCGTCTCTCCCTGGGACGGGGGTGGGTACAGGTGCCCGTCTCTCCCTGGGACGGGGGTGGGTACAGGTGCCCGTCTCTCCCTGGGACGGGAGTGGGTACAGGTGCCCGTCTCTCCCTGGGACGGGGGTGGGTACAGGTGCCCTCTGACCCCTGGTGGCAGGATGACAACCCCCCCCCCCTCCCCACAGGTCACGCCAACCCTTACCCCTGCTAATGCCCCCCCCCCCCCAACGGTACACGCCCAGTCAATCCTCCCTGGACAGGACTCGAACCCAGACCAGATCGCTCGCAAGGCAGGGGGAGTCATTTACTACTACGCCACCAAAGACAAGTTCTGCTGCTCCCAGTCTTAATACAATGTTACAAAGAATAAAAAAAACTGAGTTATAGTTTGCGTACAAACGGTAATTAATGCTTTAACTTCCCACCAGATCAGGGTTCTGTGGAGAGTCAAGAAAGACCTGGGTAAATACTGGTATGGAAACTGTGATCCTGATCTTTGGAACATATTACCGGGTAACACAATGAACGTGGGATTGGTGGATTGTTTCAAGCGTAGGTTAGACATAGATATAATTTTAATAAATAATTGTGTCGGGGGGACAGGCAGCCAGAGTGTATTTATACACGTTAGGCTTACATCAAGGTATCCCCCCCCCGCCCAGGATGCAATCCACACAACAAGCTGACTAACTCCTGGATATCTACTTACTGCTAGGTGAACAGGTGCATTAGGTGATAAGAAATGTGTCCAAGCATTTCTGTCCCGTCCGGGATTCGAACCCGTAAATTTCGATTGTGAGTCGAGAACGAGCCCTACTGTACTACGGAGACCCTTACACCTATATAAATGAATGTGAACCATTAGACCGCCTGGAGTTAGTCTGGTGACGTGTGTACAACACTGGTGGGTGAGAGTTGGGTGAGAGTTGGGTGAGAGTTGGGTGAGAGTTGGGTGAGAGTTGGGTGAGAGTTGGGTAAGAGTTAGGTAAGAGGGACACCCTGGTGACCACGCCCACTTCACCTATCACCATTATCTGCCCTTATCACACACCACCACAAGTGACTCATCACTGATGATTGTTGATGATCTAGTTCCCTCCCTCCCTGCCTACCCTCCCTACCTACCCTCTTTACCTTAACCAGTGCTGTATACCTCCCCCATAAGTTGCACCAGTGCAGGAAAGCAGTGACCAGCCTCGTGGCGTGTAGTGACTGGGTCAAGCCCCCAGGAGTGTAGCCACTCACCACCACCTGACCAGTGCCACCAGCTGGCACTTTTGCTGCCATCTGCTGCAACCTGCCACTGCCCGTACAGGTTGTGGACTAGTGCAAGTGTTGCACATCTCCAGGGCCGGGAGACAACTGTACAGGCCAGCTGGGGTCACCTTATATCAGACACAGGGGCCAGATAAGGTCAGTCTGTGACACAGTTGTACAGGCCAGCTGGGGTCACCTTATATCAGACACAGGGGCCAGATAAGGTCAGTCCGTGACACAGTTGTACAGGCCAGCTGGGGTCACCTTATATCAGACACAGGGGCCAGATAAGGTCAGACTGTGACACAGTTGTACAGGCCAGCTGGGGTCACCTTATATCAGACACAGGGGCCAGATAAGGTCAGACTGTGACACAGTTGTACAGGCCAGCTGGGGTCACCTTATATCAGACACAGGGGCCAGATAAGGTCAGTCCGTGACACAGTTGTACAGGCCAGCTGGGGTCACCTTATATCAGACACAGGGGCCAGATAAGGTCAGTCCGTGACACAGTTGTACAGGCCAGCTGGGGTCACCTTATATCAGACACAGGGGCCAGATAAGGTCAGACTGTGACACAGTTGTACAGGCCAGCTGGGGTCACCTTATATCAGACACAGGTGCCAGATAAGGCCAGACTGTGACACAGTTGTACAGGCCAGCTGGGGTCACCTTATATCAGACACAGGGGCCAGATAAGGTCAGACTGTGACACAGTTGTACAGGCCAGCTGGGGTCACCTCTCACTCGTCGCCAGGGACACGACCCTCCTTGTGGAGGAAGGCAGATGTCCTCCAACCCTCAGGAGGATGAACCGTTCACAGCTCACCAACTACCAACCTGTTACACCGCTGTCAGTCACTGCACGATATTCTTCTGACAGTAATCTTACGAGAAAATGACAGCACTTGTTGGCATCATTACTATGTGACTGGCACTGTGCCTTCCAATCACCATGGGCCTTTAACAGAGTGTGTGACACTATGGATTATTGGACAAGCCGCAGGAACGTGGCACCTCAGGCTCAAGTAGGGAACGGTTATGTAACGACCTTCAAGACTGGGTATTGTACCAATGGGTACCCAGAGGGTACCTACAGTGGGTACAATATCTACGACCAATGGCAGTTCAACGCCGAATCAACGTCACCAACGCTGAAATCACGTTGATAACATTCATTCCAATGGAACTAATGCCCTCTTGGGTAGTGTACCCACTGGGTATGTTGACCCATACTGACTGGTAGACTCGGGGCATGACAACCTTCCACGCTGGGGGGGGGAGGGGGAGAGAGAGAGAGAGAGAGAGAGAGAGAGAGAGAGAGAGAGAGAGAGAGAGAGAGAGAGAGAGAGAGAGAGAGAGAGAGAGAGAGAGAGAGAGAGACAGAGAGAGAGAGAGAGAGAGAGACAGAGAGAGAGACAGAGAGAGAGAGACAGAGACACAGACAGAGTTAGACAGAGAGTCAGATGAGAGAGAGACAGAGAGAGAGAGACCAGAGACCAGACAGAGTTAGATGAAGTCACGAAGCAGTTACCCACGAACTTACGAATGTTTTTCTTCATAGCATCTTCATAGTGGCTACGTCGGTATTCAGGTAGGCATTTAAGAAGGTAAATCTTCCTAAGTACACTGCCTCAAACTAAGGACGCTCTGGACCACTCGCAGCTTTGCGTAAACTGGATATAACTCAATTTTTCTCAGCTACACAACACGGAGGATCGATTTTCTTATAAACAAACAATTTAGCTGGCGAGTCTGGTCAAGAGGAGTCCTTCGTGTTAGCTATATATACATTCTCTGCTTAAAACTTGCAGTAAATATGTCTTTTATGATATTAGAATTAGTTTTATAATAGCAAGATATTATACCAGTAGTTATTAAGTAAATAAACACTGGTGAACATGAAATATGAGAGAAGGTGATGATCCAGGGCTGGTGGGAGCATTTCTATCACCAAATGATCCTGTTCACCTAGTAATAAGTATAGCTAAGGGGTGTACCTTAGCTATACAGACCCATTTTTAATTTATTTTGTTTGGTTTTATTTTTAAACTAAATCTGGGTGAGACATAAAATAAAAATATCCTTCACAAATGATGTTAGGTAAGAAGGGTAAAAACTTTAACAACTTTTGTCATTGAATACTTAGGCCTATAATTATGACTATATGGACTATTATGGCCTGTTAAAAAAGAGAAGGGGAAATAGGGGTCCAAGACTTATTCCTGTTACACAAGGCACCAAGCCGGTAAGGCAGTGAGGTGAGGCAGCTACTTATTTGAGGAATGCTTATTTTATTTACCTTATAAGCTGAAGCAGTCTATTGTATTTGAGGAATGCTCAGCTGATTCCTCTACATTTAGCATGGAACAAATTTGTGTCCAAGACCTCTTCCTGTTACACAATTTGGCTGTGTAACAATAAGTAATTATCAGGAGAAGGCACCAAGCCGGGAAGGCTGTGTAGCACCATTGTGTGTAACAATAAACCAATTTTT